ATGTGTATGTTCTTTATTTCTTAATTAGTTAATTAGGAGATATGATGATTACCTTATTTTGCTATCAATTACTTGCACAAATTTATATGATAATGGTGATTTGAGTTAGAAAAGCCCAAAAATATTATCCATTTAGAAAACCACAAATATAATGGTGATTTGAGATTTAGAAAAGCCAAAACTATTATCTTTATTATATTTATATATATATATATATAAATATATGGATCTTAAAAATGTAATTTACTATATATATACATTTGTTTGTTCTTTCTATTAACGGATAAATAACACAGATGAAATACCGTTTGTAGTTGACTACAAACCATTTTTCCGTCTATTTCAATAGCGATATGCAAATTTAATATTATTTTCGACTCGATAAAATTTAAATATCTATTAAATTATTTTATATTGTACAATTGCTAAAAAAAATTGACAATTTTTTGCAGGTTTCTATAGGATTATTTTAATTCATAATTTTTCTACTTATTTTATATTACTTATGAATTATATTTATATTTTTATCACATTTTCTTTGGGATTGTGATATCTATGAGATTTTTATCACATTTTTTAATGTCACTGTCTCATGTATATTTTTCTTACATTTGTTTTTTAATAGTTAACTTTTATTAAAAACATACTAATGATGTTAATTTTTTTTACTTTAGTTAACTTTCATTTGTTTTATTCTTATATACTTTGTGAATTTTTTATTTTTTGTTTCAGTTTAATATTGAATTTAGTTCACATACTTTATGTGTATATGTTTTAAAACATATTTTTTCTTTAAAAAATTAAGCGACAAAGATCCTAATTAAACCGATCCAAAAACAAACCGAACTGGATATAAATTGAATTAGACATAAACAACACCGAACCAGACTAAAAAAGGTTTATTTCAGTTGAAAAAATATATTAAAACCGAACTAAACAAACCAAACCGAAAAAGTAACGATTTGTCCACCCCTACTACATCCTAGAGATTTGCGCAAATTTTTTCTCAGCATTGAAACTCCCACTTGTTCTACTAACTCCCACATTTGAACTCAATAGATACTCCTATCTCAGCATTATATTATATTTTTATACCCGCACAGGGTGCGGGTCGGTCACCTAGTAAAATCCTACACGAAGCAACAAAAGTACACACAGATCTCCGAATCTGTTAACGACTGAAAGATAAAAAAAATTTATGCAATTAATTAAGTATTTAACGGTTAAAAATTCACAACGGCTATATGATATTGGAAAAATGGAAATTACTATTATAAACAGAATAATACATCAAAAAAAGAAAATTATAAACCATAAATATACACAGCCCTAAACCTTCGTGGTCACGCTACTAATCACTCACAATTCTCTTCTTCTCTCGGTAAAACTCTCAGAACGATATTGTTTTCGCCATGGATTCTCTTTCTTGCTCTTCGATAAAGATGAACAACAACAACAACAAGCTCTCTGTCAGAAACAAAACTTGTTTCAAGAACACCAATTTGATCACAAGACAAAAGACCATTCTCAAGAAGGCTTTAGAGCTCTCCGTCCTCTGCGATAACGAAATTTGTGTCATCCATTACGATCTTGAAGGAAATCTCGTCGAAACTTATCCTGAAGATCAGTGCCAAGTTAACGACATCCTCGACAGGTATAACAATCTGAGCGACAGAGAAAAACTCAAGAAAAGCACGAATCTTTCTCAGTTCTGTAACAAGAAACTCGTTGACGAGAAGAAAAGATCTCTTACTAACGCAGAGGAACACAACAAGTTCACAAAGAAAGTTGGAGAGTTCGAGGGTTCTTTGGTCGATCAGTTTCATATATTACAAGACAGGTTTCATGACCTTTCTTATTCCCAGGATGATCATCATCAGACCACAGCCGAGCGTGATCAGAGCCCTTTTTTTGGTGCAATATCTGAAAAAGATCACAACTTTCCGGCGTCGTTTGGCTTCAACCTCGCCAATGACTTCTCTTTTTCACTAATCGAGGAGAATCCATTGATGAATATTAGACCGTACGATCTTGATCATCAACAACAAGAGACAGGATCGTTAATGAATCTTCACATTAGTGGTGATCATCATGTATCAACAAGTACCGATCAACAATACCTCCTGAGCCCTCCTCCTGCTTCCTCCTCAACCACATGTTCGTTGAATCAACAGAGCAAATTCTCAGTCTTTGTGTTTAACCACGAAACGGCTACGTTTACTCAACTTCCCAACTCTGTTTCTTCAAGCTTCAACCAAGGGTTGATTGACACTTATTGATACAAACATGCATCCAAGCTGCACATCTCATCTGTTTCATCATATGATTACTCAAATGTGTATTCGTTTTTCTTTTATTTCCACTTCTTTGTATATTTTATGACAATACCACACGTCCTTCTTCTTATATATACCTTCTTCTCATGTCATTAATTCTTCATGTGCAAGTCTTTCTTTTAGAGATTACAAACGAAACCTTTTTTTTACTTTTAGTTAACAAATGGAAATTAATATTTACTTGACGACCACTCAAACCATGATCATGTAGAGTAGAACCTTTACTTGTACACGTCCTTTGCATGCTTCACTGTCACTTGTAAGAAATAACATACATACAACCATTTAGTGATTGCACATCTCTATTCTCAAATGCGGCTTTTAGTCAAGATCATATCTAGTGCCCTTCCTGTTAAGGTCTGCAAAGATCATTTCCCTCTCTGTATCTCTTCATCATTCCATAAAACTAGCCTAGTTTATATTTCTCACCCCAGAACTACCACAAACATATTTCTTATATTAGATTTCTCTTAGTATCCAGTAAGGTGTAAAGGGTTTCTTTATGGATCCATGTAAGAGCTTCATTCACCCCTAAAGATACCCTAGAAGTGGTTCAGCGAAGAGTTGCTATTTCTACTCCCACATTTTGACTTTCATCTCCTTATTAGACTTGCTCCTGTATGGCTTCGACATACTTTTTCTGTTTATCAGATCTCTAACACAAAACAAAATAAGATACTCCAAGGCATGAGTTCATTACAGGATTCTTGTTCATTGCTTCCTAGACAAGCATCACAATCTTGTTTGCCATTTCAGTGTCAGTCAATTAGTAGAAATGCACTCAAGTGTTAAGTTTCACAGTAGAAGTAACTCTTCAAAGTTTAACTGCATAGGTAAGGTGGGAAAGAAGCCTTGGGATTTAGACAATACTTAAGGTTGTTTGAGGATTTATTTTTTACTTTTATTTATCTATTGTACCAATAGGTTTAACCTTTATTTCCGAGATTGTTCTGTAACATAAATCTGTAGGAAAAAAATAGTTTTAACCTTTATTTATCGGTTTATTACCATATTAACTCTAATAGTTTTAACCTTTTTTATCAGTTTATTACCATATTTATTTATCAATTTTTCAGTAACGAAAAGAAAAAAAAAACAGCTGTCAGGTGTTATTGGTTAATGTATTTTGACTGTATAGAATTTATAAATCTTAGCAAAATATACTGATTTACAAATCTAATATGTGAATTTTAACAAGTACTTACAAATTTGAGGGTTTTCCTTCGGATTTTAGTCCTTGTATTTTTAACAAAGAAATCCACACAAATCCACCCAAATCCCCTATAAAATCAAATCCATTAATGAATCCATATGATTGAATAACACTTGATTGAATTAGAATTTATAAATCATGAAACCAATAACACTTGATTTTAACTTGGATTTTAAAATCATGAAACCAATAACACTGAATTTTGTTTAGATTTATAAATCAATTAAAATACATAAACCAATAATACCCACTAAGATTGTAAATTTGTAATATGAGGAACAATTTATCTCAAAGAGACCAAAGAAAGTGAAAAAAGGAAATCTGCAATTAATTAATTATAAATAATATGGGCTACAGTGAGCAAACTGAGTAAGAATACCAAATCAAATCTATCAGTCGATTAACGGCAATATATATACCAAATCAAATCTATATGTCGATTAACGGCTGAAAGATCAGGTAACTTTATACAGTTCATTAATTATTTAATTATTAAAATGTAAACAACAACTGTAAAATAACCACAACGGCTATATGAAATAGTGAAAAAAATGGAAATTACCGTGTAACAAAAAAAGGAAACTATAAACGGTACGTAAAATCTATAAATACACCCACCACTAAACAGCCTTGTGGTCACGCTAATCACTCACAATTCTCTTCTTCTCTCGGTAAAACTCTCAGAACGATTTTGTTTTCGCCATGGATTCTCTTTCTTGCTCTTCGACAAAGATGAACAACAACGACAAGGTCTCTGTCAGAAACAAAACTCGTTTCAAGAACACCAATTTGATCACAAGACAAAAGACCATCCTCAAGAAGGCTTTAGAGCTCTCCGTCCTCTGCGATAATGAAATCTGTGTCATCCATTACGATCTTGAAGGAAATCTCGTCGAAACTTACCCTGAAGAACAGAGCAATGTTAAAGATATTCTCGAGAGGTATAACAGTTTAAGCGACAGAGAAAAAATCAAGAAAAGCACGAATCTTTCTCAGTTCTGTAACAAGAAACTCGTTGACGAGAAGAAAAGATCTCTTACTAACGCAGAGGAACACAGAAAGTTCACAAAGAAAGTTGGAGAGTTCGAGGGTTTTTTGATTGATCAGTTTCATATATTACAAGACAGGTTTCGTGATCTTTCTTATTCCCAGGATGATCAATATCATCAGACCACAACCGCGCGTGATCAGAACCCTTCTCTTGATGTTATCTCTGAAAAAGATCACAACTTTCCGGCGTCTTCTGGCTTCTTCCTCGCCAGTGACTTGTCTTCTTCACTAATCGAGGAGAATCCATTGATGAATTTTAGACCGCACGATCTTGATCAACAACAACAAGAGACAAGATCGGTAATGAATCTTCTCATGAGTGGTGATCATCATGTGTCAGCAAGTACCGATCAACAATATCTCCTGAGCCCTCCTGCTTCTTCTTCCTCAACCGCATGTTCGTTGAATCAACAGAGCAAATTCTCAGTCTTTGTGTTTAACCACGAAACGGCTACGTTTACTCAACTTCCCAACTCTGTTTCTTCAAGATTTGACCAAGGGTTGACTCCGTACACCAACAATCTCAGTACAGGTTTACATGGGGTACAAGGGTCGAACTTTGTCTATGACCACAATCTCAACGCACAAGGGTTCAACTTTGGGTGCAGCAACAATCTTAACACACAAGGCTTTAACTTTGGGTGCAACAACAATCTCTGTACATGACTGAGCAATGAAGGCACTTCAACCTTGTTTTGATCCTCACAGACACCACAATGGAACTCTTACTGATCAACACATAGCTTCTGATTAATTCATCTTATTAATCAATTGTGTATTACTCTCTTTTTTTTGTGTGTAAATCTCTGGAAACCAAGTTCTTATTTCTATATATAATATGTATGCCTTTTAACATTGATTCTTCTTTCAAGTTCCACTTTTAAAAGACTTGTGTGTATGTCTCTTAGTCTCTATGCTTTTGTCTTTTTATTTAGAAGCTGTGGTTCGTTTGAATCATCATCAACAACAAGGGATAGTGGAGAAGAATCTTATGTTTGTTTGTTTGTTTCAAGGAAACCATTTGTTTGGAGAAATAAAAGACTAATTGCGTTGAAGTTTGAGATTTTCGATTTAGGTTTGTTTGTTTGTTTGTACGTTCGTTGGTAGGAATGGTATAAAAGAACAGCTAGTGTTTTAATGGGTTCGTACGCTTTGATGATATTATCTTGTGTAGCTGTGACTTTGAGGTGCTTTGACACTTTTGCATTCAACTCTTGCGTTCTGAATTGAATTGCTTTCTGGTGAATCTCTTCTTACAAGGATCTTTGCTTATTAGAGACGTAAGAGATTGTAATAGTCTTGTTATGAAAATTGCAAATTAGGACGTGACAGACTAAAGATCAAGAATGGAATAATCATAGGACTGATAGAACAAGATCAAGGATGGAGTAATCATTGAATACATTTCTAGCTCTAGAGAAAAAAATAACCAAAACCCTAAACATATCGACTAAGAGCAAGGCAGTTACATAACTCGTCATCTGTATTTTTTATCGTAAAACAGAGTTGAAAATGCATCAAAGTACATATAAACCGGAATGTCGGTGGATATGCCTTTCTTCACCTCCATAAACTGAACTTTAAAAAAGTAGTCTCCTTGTCAACTTTACTCTCAAACTGCAAGACAGTCTTCTGCATCCTCTTCTAGTTATATATATATACTACTAAGAAAATACATGTGCCATGATCAGCCAATGAAAATTCATGTTCTGACTTCCCCTAGACCAAATTGTATCCCTGTCAAAATTCACCACGACCTCAGTATTAACCATACAATAACTGACTCCATAAACAACTAAAGCACCAGTACAATATGGTCTTAGTGACTCCCCTGTACCTTCAAGGTACATTATACATTATTCTTTACACCCAAGGCTTTTTGCTAATAGCTATATTTACTTGTATTAATGCGATCATATATCCAAACAATGAGTGTACCTCTGAGCGGTCTGCAACAAAGGAGTCGTTTTGTGGTGAGTCAGCCACGCTGCTTCAATCCAGATTCAAATCTAAGACAAAAAAAAAAATCATAATAGATCAGAAAACAAAGAATCCAACTCTGAGAAAGACAGAACACTACACACGTATACAATTGAGATCTCAATCGGATATCTTGACCCTGGAGGTATTCTGCTGAAACTCACCGAGAGAGAGACACGTATTAGATTTCTTCGAAGGTTTTTCGGGTGCTCTCTTAAGAAGTCCAATTCACCATACAGTGAACTCATCCTCCCCATCTCTCTAGTTCTTTGCTGCAACCGAAACGATTGACAATGTTCTGGGTTTAGTTTTGGCAGACGATTGATTTTTCTGTCTGGTCCTGGTTTCATTTTTTGTCAGGAATAGCCGCTTTCTAACTCGGATTTTCCCAATTCGTCGAGAATCGCCATTGAATCCCATGAACCCTAAATCTTGTTTTTCTTTTTGTTTGTAAAACTGTGTGTTTTTATCGTGATTTTAATTGGTGTTTTTAATTGTTTACCAAAACTAATTTAATGTATAATAAGTCGACTATTATGGTTATTTCGTCTTTATGCTACCATTCTAACATGCATAAATTAAAGGAAGTTAATGTGGATAATTTTTACATTAATTAATTTTAAATAAGATGTTCTACAATGAGCTAACCGAGTGGGGAAATCAAATCAAATCTATCTATCTCGATTAATTAAAATGGAGACAACAACTGTAAAATAACTACAACGGCTATATGAAATAGTGAAAAATTACCGTGTAACAAAAAAATGGAAATCATAAACGGTATGATAAAATCTATAAATACACACAGTACTAAACAACCTTGGTGGTCACGCTACTAATCACTCACAATTCTCTTCTTCTCTCAGTAAAACTCTCGATCGCTTTTGTTTTGGCCATGGATTCTCTTTCTTGCTCTTCGACAAAGATGAACAACAACAACAACAACAACAAGGTCTCTGTCAGAAACAAAACTCGTTTCAAGAACACCAATTTGATCACAAGACAAAAGACCATTCTCAAGAAGGCTTTAGAGCTCTCCGTTCTATGCGACAATGAAATCTGTGTCATCCATTACGATCTTGAAGGAAATCTCGTCGAAACTTATCCTGAAGAACAGAGCAATGTTAAGGACATTCTCGAGAGGTATAACAGTTTAAGCGACAGAGAAAAAATCAAGAAAAGCACGAATCTTTCTCAGTTCTGTAACAAGAAACTCATTGACGAGAAGAAAAGATCTCTTACTAACGCAGAGGAACACAACAAGTTCACAAAGAAAGTTGGAGAGTTCGAGGGTTCCTTGGTCGATCAGTTTCATATATTACAAGACAGGTTTCGTGATCTTCATCAGACCACAGCCGAGCGTGATCAGAGCTCTTTTCTTGATGTTAGGTCTGTAAAAGATCACAACTTTCCGGCGTCTTCTGGCTTCACCCTCGCCAATGACTTGTCTTCTTCACTAATCGAGGAGAATCCATTGATGAATTTTAAACTGTACGATCTTGATCAACAACAACAAGAGACAGGATCGGTAATGAATCTTCTCATGCGTGGCGATCATCATATTAGGGACAAAGGTCCCACATCGGTTGTTGGAAGGGATCCTAAGCAATATATAAGATAGATGAGCCAATCCACTTATCACCAATTGGTTTTAAGTTGGAAGCCCATCTAGATTAACATGGTATCAGAGCCCACGATCCACGCAGTCCAACCCGATCCTTATCGATCCAGCCCAAAGTCGGCCCATCGATCCTTGCCCGAACATTCCGAGATTGATGCCAAAGAGCCATCATCTCGAGGGGGCGTATTAGGGACAAAGGTCCCACATCGGTTGTTGGAAGGGATCCTAAGCAATATATAAGATAGATGAGCCAATCCACTTATCACCAATTGGTTTTAAGTTGGAAGCCCATCTAGATTAACAGTCAACCCTTGGTCAAATCTTGAAGAAACAGAGTTGGGAAGTTGAGTAAACGTAGCCGTTTCGTGGTTAAACACAAAGACTGAGAATTTGCTCTGTTGATTCAACGAACATGCGGTTGAGGAAGAAGAAGCAGGAGGGCTCAGGAGATATTGTTGATCGGTACTTGTTGACACATGATGTATTAGGGACAAAGGTCCCACATCGGTTGTTGGAAGGGATCCTAAGCAATATATAAGATAGATGAGCCAATCCACTTATCACCAATTTATAGAAGGATCTTGAAGATATCAGAGTATATCATAATTATGATAAATATATTATGTAGTTATTATTTAGATTTTCATATATTTGTATTTATCATAGATTAGGAAATCATAGTAGTATATAAACATGTGTAACATAAACCTAAGAGTTATGAGAGTCAATATACAATTCTTCCAATCTTCTACTCTCATCATTCTCAATATGGTATCAGAGCTACAATGATCTAACGATCTGCTCCGTTCCTGTTTTTCTTTTATTTTCTTCAAGCTACAAAGCTTCTTTATTTATTTTCAAGCCATTGAGCTTCTGTTAAGCTATATGCTTCCACCATTCATGTTCATGCGAACCTCTGAATCTAAGCCATGCGCTTTTTGTTATTCAAGTCTACTATAGACCTCTGAATCCAAGCCTAGTGCTTCTTTATATTCATGCCTCATTTTTATCTTTATAGTTCTTAAGCCATTGTGGTTTCACTTCCAAAATCAAAGCTTAATGCTTCTTGTTTTGTTTTTTCTTAAAGCCATGGAACTTCTTATTATTCATGTCTCCAAAGACCTCTGAATCGATTTCTTCTTTTGAAAAAAAAAAAAAAAAATCTTTGTTCTATATTTCTTACGTATTAAAATAAAAGACAAAAAAAAAGAAAAAAAAACATAAAATAAAAAGGTTTTGTTACCATGCCAAAGCTTCCTACCATCATCCAAGCTCATCAAACGACCCTCTGAATCTATGAATCTATAAGCCCCGAGCTTCTATTCTCTTTTTTTTCGAGCCAAGGTGCTTCCTCTCCAACCGTCTCACGATGTCAACAAGACGAGACTTCCGATGTCAAAAACACAAATCTTATGTCGTCTGGTCTTTCCGTCACACATGACTGCTACATTCCTCCGTATCCGCTACCACAATTACTGAATCTGCTGCATTCCCAACCACAGATCATTGGATCTCGGCCTCTCTTCATCTCCATTATGAGATCTCTTCCCCACCAACGAAAAAAAAAAAAAAAAAACTCAAGCTTCTAGCCATCATTGCGATCTCCCTCAGTCTTGATCTATTCTTGGTCAATCTCAAGCCTAGCTTCAGTTGTCACTTCATCACCGCCTTGAGCTTGAGGGAGCGTATAGAAGGATCTTGAAGATATCAGAGTATATCATAATTATGATAAATATATTATGTAGTTATTATTTAGATTTTCATATATTTGTATTTATCATAGATTAGGAAATCATAGTAGTATATAAACATGTGTAACATAAACCTAAGAGTTATGAGAGTCAATATACAATTCTTCCAATCTTCTACTCTCATCATTCTCAATATTGACTCCGTACACCACCAACAATCTCAGTACAGGTTTACATGGGGCACAAGGGTCGAACTTTGTGTATGACCACAATCTCAATGCACAAGGGTTCAACTTTGGGTGCAACAACAATCTCTGTACATGACTGAGCAATGAAGGCACTTCAACCTTGTTTAGATCCTCACAGACACCACAATGGAACTCTTACTGATCAACACATAGCTTCTGATTAATTCATCTTATTAATCAATTGTTTGTTACTCATTTTTTTGTGTGTAAATCTCTGGAAACCAACTTCTTATTTCTATGTATAATATGTATGCCTTTTAACATTGAATCTTCTTTCAAGTTCCACTTTTAAAGACTTGTGTCTATGTCTCTATGCTTTTGTCCTTTTATATAGAAGCCGTGGTTCGTTTGACTCAGGAGGAAAATCTTATGTTTGTTTGTTTCAAGGAAACCATTTGTTTGGAGAAATAAAAGACTAATTGTGTTGAAGTTTGAGATTTTCGATTTAGGTTTGTTTGTTTGTACGTTCGTTGGTAGGAATGGTAAGAGAACAGCTAGTGTTAATGGGTTCGTACGCTTTCATGATATTATCTTGTGTAGCTGTGACTTTGAGGTGCTTTGACACTTTTGCATTCAACTCTTGCGTTCTGAATTGAATTACTTTCTCGGGAATCTCTTCTTACAAGGATCTTTGCTTATTAGAGACGTAAAAGATTTTAATAGTCTTGTTATGAAAATCTCAATTAGGGATTCCGTTAGTTATATATATCCTCTGGGTATTCAATAGTTTATTATGAGTTTGTGTAGATAAACAGAATCTTAGTATATACTGATGATTTGCTTTATTGAATCGTTTTAACAACATTTTCGTTGTCCAAACGACCATTACGTTGCTCGACCAGTAACGAACAAAGAGTTTCATTTTTCTTTTTTAAAATCAGTAAATAACACAAAACCTCTTTCGTCTTCTCTCAAAATCAAATGCGATGCTTGGGAACAAAACGACTAGAAGAGCTTCATCGTACTCTCTCTCAGAATCAACATACATCCTTTTTCAAGGCAAAAAAGGAAGCAACTTTTCACTCTTCAACACAGAGAACTCAAACCCAACTCCAGAAACCGCAGAGCAAATCCGGAGACGACGATATAAAACAATGGAACGTGGCTATAAGCAGCTACATGCGCAACGGACTTTGCAACGAAGCGCTTCGTGTCTTCCACCGCATGCCCAGACGGAGCTCCGTTTCTTACAACGCCATGATCTCTGGTTTTTTACGAAACGGTGAGTTCGATACCGCCCGGAAGATGTTCGACGAAATGCCTGATAGAGATTTGGTTTCATGGAATGTGATGATCAAAGGCTATGTCCGGAACAGGAACCTTGGGAAAGCGAGGGAACTGTTTGAGAGGATGTGGGAGAGAGATGTCTGTTCGTGGAACACGATGTTGTCTGGATACGCTCAGAACGGGTGTGTTGATGAGGCGAGGAGAATCTTTGATCGGATGCCTGAGAAGAACGAAGTGTCTTGGAACGCGTTGCTCTCTGCGTATGTTCAGAACGGGAGGATGGAGGAAGCTTGTGTGTTGTTTGAGTCTAGGGAGAATTGGGCTTTGGTTTCTTGGAACTGCTTGCTTGGTGGGTTTGTCAAGAAGAAGAAGATTGTTGAGTCAAGACAGTTTTTTGATGGTATGAATGTGAGAGATGTGGTTTCATGGAATACCATCATTACCGGTTATGCACAGAACGGGAAGATTGATGAGGCGAGGAAGCTGTTTGATGAGTCTCCTCTTCAGGATGTTTTTACATGGACAGCAATGGTTTCAGGGTATGTACAAAACCGTATGGTGGAAGAAGCGAGAGAGTTGTTTGACAAGATGCCTGAGAGGAACGAAGTATCATGGAACGCCATGCTTGCAGGATATGTGCAGAGCGAGAGAATGGAGATGGCAAAGGAGCTGTTCGATGTTATGCCTTTTCGCAATATTAGTACATGGAACACTATGATAACTGGATATGCTCAATGCGGGAATGTTACTGAAGCTAAGAACCTTTTTGACAAAATGCCTAAGAGAGATCCGGTCTCTTGGGCTGCTATGATTGCAGGGTACTCGCAAAGCGGACATGGATATGAAGCTCTTCGGTTGTTTGTACAAATGGAGAGAGAAGGCGGGAGGTTGAATCGTTCTTCCTTCTCATCTGCTCTAAGCACGTGTGCAGACGTTGTTGCTCTTGAGCTCGGGAAGCAGTTGCACGGAAGATTGGTTAAAGGTGGATATGAGAGTGGGTGCTTTGTTGGGAACGCGCTTTTGTTGATGTATTGCAAGTGTGGAAGCATAGAAGACGCCAATGACTTGTTTGAGGAGATGACTGGGAGAGACATAGTCTCTTGGAACACAATGATTTCAGGTTACTCAAGACATGGGTTCGGAGAAGAGGCTTTAAGGTTCTTTGAGTCGATGAAGAGACAAGGACTGAAGCCAGATGATGCTACCTTGGTTGCTGTATTATCTGCGTGCAGTCACACAGGACTTGTAGACAAAGGCAGGGAATATTTCTACACGATGACTCAAGATTATGGTGTAACACCTAACTCACAGCACTACGCTTGTATGGTAGATCTTCTTGGTCGAGCTGGGCTTTTAGATGAAGCTCGCAGTCTAATGAAAGAAATGCCCTTTGGGCCAGACGGTGCAATATGGGGAACTTTACTTGGTGCAAGCAGAGTCCATGGAAACACAGAGCTAGCTGAAATAGCTGCTGACAAGATCTTTGCAATGGAGCCTGAGAATTCAGGAATGTATGTTCTTCTCTCAAATCTATACGCATCTTTGGGTCGATGGGGAGATGTAGGTAAGCTGCGAGTGAGAATGCGTGACAAAGGAGTCAAGAAAGTGACAGGGTACAGCTGGATTGAGATACAGAACAAAACACATACTTTCTCGGTCGGGGATGAGTTCCACGCCGAGAAAGACGAGATCTATGCGTTCATGGAGGATCTTGATTTGAGCATGAAGAAAGCAGGGTATGTTTCGAAGACGAGTGTGGTTCTTCATGATGTTGAAGAAGAAGAGAAGGAGCGTATGGTTAGGTACCATAGCGAGAGACTGGCTGTAGCGTATGGGATAATGCGTGTGTCTCAAGGGAAACCGATACGTGTGATAAAGAACCTGCGTGTGTGTGAGGATTGTCATAATGCCATCAAGTGTATGGCGAAAATCACGGGGAGAGTGATTATTCTAAGGGATAATAACAGGTTTCACCATTTTAAGGATGGTTCATGCTCTTGTGGAGACTACTGGTGAACTGATGATGATTCCCTTTAATGGCCAGTAATTGAGATAAGATATTTACAGATTACAAATGAGACTCTTTAGTTAACAAATGTAAATGAATCTTTACTTGAGGCTCAAACCATGATCATGTGAAGTAGTAGAAACTTTACACACGTCACTTGTAAGAAATAACATACATA